TTGAAAGAAGCCTTAAGGAAAATATTTCCTACTTCTGAGCAGAAGGAGAAGATTGAGGAGATACTTGCCCAGCATCCCCACATGAGGGACATGAATGCTCTGTCTGCTATGGTACTTGACTTAGGCTGATGGACAGAACTTTTGCAGTTTGCAGTTTGGATTGTTAACTTAAAGAGGCATATGAGCTGGTGCCAGGCCATCTGTGAATAGTATAAACTTAATCCTTTTTGTATAAAAAATGTGAATATTCAATGGATTTGCATATACCCTTTTTATTCACTTAAGTTGCATTGCTTTTACAGATTTGTATTGATGCCTCATTTTCAAAGAAAATTAGTCTTTATTTCTGACTGGCTTGCAGTTGTTTACAAAAGTTGAAGCACGTTTCTTGGGAGCAAACAGAATCTGACAGCATATCTAAATGCTGGTTAAAATATCCTTGCAGGTTATGTGAAAATTCCATGCTAATAATGGAATGTACAATCTTGAAATCTTATTGTGGGATGAAATTGCATGAGAAGATGGTGATTCATCAGTGAGTAAACAATGACGATTTCACATATCCTGATTTTGCAATTGGTAAGTGCATGAGTGCTCTTTCACATCAGAAACCTTGAAGATAATTGATTGTACTTAGAATAAGTAAAAGTAAAAATAAAATGTCACATACTAGTAACAGCAAGTAGCACTAGCAGTAGGCAGAACATCTGAGATGGCACAGTACCCAAACAAAGAGCATTTGGATTGATAAGCACAGAATGTAGCTGGTTTAATTAAATCATTGCATTCTCAAAGGGGATGGGAGTAGAATTCCTGAAGAGAAACAAAAAACACTCTTGTGGTGCCTTAAAGATTTTCATGCCACAATAAAATCATATAAAATCAAATTAGTTACAAGTGTTCATAAAGACAATTCTGCTTATCTTTAAAGTTCCACAAGATACTGTGTAGGGAGAGAGAAAAGTCTGTGCTATCTTTGGCCAATAGTTTGGAAATTAGCTGCTGTGACAACAGAATAGGAGACCCTTAATTTTATACTGATTAAAATAGATCATCCAGGGTCCCCCACCCTTTTGTAGGCTTTGTAAATTGGCCAACAGATTCACCCCAAATGTTGCTTTCTCTAGTGACAGCAGTTGCCCTTGGGTTGTATTAACCTACAACAATTAAACACTTTACTTTTAGACAGAAGAGGGGCCACTGTGTGTGTACTTTAAACCCATACCTTCTTTTTTCATTATAGATTGTTGTTTGCTATTTCTTAGGCATCACTGTTTTAAGATACTTTCCAGTCAAATACTTGCATTGTATGCCCCCTGCTCCATTATGTGGGACCAGTATGGTCTCTAGATTATTGATATAAATTACCTTCTTCAGGCTATCTTGTTTTTAGGTTCCCCAGTGGATATCCCTGGAAAGCATTCATAGAAAGCATGTTAGAATTTGCCAATTTCAAGGAGTGGCTGTACCAGATATCCCTTTGTTCTGATTCTGTGTACTAGCTTTCATTATGTTCTATTCTGCTTTAAAAACAGCAGAAGGAAACACTGCAATTTATATCAGCTAATGAAAGTGTTGTCTTTTATGGCACTGTCGCTTCATATGAACATATCAGATGCAGAGTATCATTGCCCGTGAGGAGATGTGAATGTTGGTAAACCAAATAATTCTTCTAGTAGTCACAAAACACATCATTCACCTTGCAGGACTTGTGATCTGAAGGAGGCGATTGAATAAGGATGTAGTTATGGGGAGAGGAACAAAATGAAGACATTGCCTCCAGGAATTCTCCCCCCCCCCCCAGTGAAATTTTCCTCCATTCACTGAATTTCTAGCATTGCAAAGGTGTGAAGCAATGGAAATTGACATCTAAAATTTATGTTTGCTGTGCTTACACTCCCTTGGTAATTTTGCCTGGCCCTTTCCTTTGGATGTCTAAATTGTATTAATAAATGCCCAACAGAAATTTTTATTGCTGCAGTGGTAGAAAATTAGGAAATGAAGGAGAGCAATTTTGGAGGGGCTATTGCTTTCCACCAGTATCCCTGCCCTTGCATCTGAAAATATCAATTTGGGTGCTCAGGACATCATGCAAACAAATTTTTGGCTTAACCTGGGAATTGAAGTGTGAGAGTAAAGTTGCATGTCCTTATAATGGCCCACTTTGACAGCATAGATCACAAAAAGCTATGGAATGCTTTTAAAGAAATGGGAGTGGCAATACATTTCATTGTTCTAATGATAAACCTGTACTTAGGACAACAGCCTAGTGTTAGAACAGAATATAGAGAAGCACAATAGTTCCCAATTGGCAAAGGGGTCAAGCATGGCTGCGTTCTGTCACCCTTTTTGTAAAATTTGTTTGCAGAAAATCTCATACAGGTAGCAGTTTTAGAATCAGAAGGAGGAAGAGTGAAGATCAGAAGAAGGAACAACAATCTAAGATATGCAGATGACACCATACTAGTAGCAAACAACATAGACTTGGAATGATTACTAAGCAGAGTTAAATGAGAAAGCACAAAGGCAAGCTTACTGTTGAGCATTAAGAAAACAAAAATAATGATAGAGGATTCAACCTAGGCGGCAAGGAAATCAAGATAGTTAAAAGATTTCCCATGTTGTGTGCCTTCAAGTAGTCTCTAATTTATGATACCCCTAAGGTGAACCTTTCCTGAGGTCACCCACTAGGTTTCATGGCCAACCTTCATCTCCAGAGTCATAATCCAACGCTCAAACCACTACATATAGCCTTGTTAGCCATATAGCAGTAACATCCAAAATCCACTAAGCAGTGATATCCTTATCTGAACAACCAAAATGTACAAGATATATCATGCAAACTTTTGAAGCTCCACTGCATGAAGGCTTCTCTTGAGAGATTCAGGGTTCTCTGCCTAACAAAAGGGGCTGTGACTTCACAAAGGATGGAGGCATCTGGGATCTCAGAAGAAGTACCTTTTTGTATTGCTAATGGAATTCAAATGTTTATCTCATTGACTTTGGAAGGCTTTGTTCCCAGTGACACATGGCCAGAAGGAGGAAGGACCTGCTTGCATAGATATCCCTCTACAAAGCACAAAAATAAATGCAGGCTTGTGAATAACATTGTCATTTTATTTTTTTAAAAAAAAAGAAAAATTCTGTATGTTTTTAACACCTTTGCCTGATGAAGCAGTGGAGCTTTAAAAGCTTGCATCATGTATTTTGTGCATTTTGGTTGGTCGAATAAAAGAATCACTATTGTGGATTTTGGATGTTATCGAAGAGTGGGCTTGGTCCATCCTTGGACCCAGGACCATCAACGTATCAGGGATCTCCTGGTAGGGCTAAGAAGGAATCCTGCCAGAAACCCCAGAAGACTCTTGCTACCAGTCAAGAGTTGACAATGCTGAGCTACATGGTTTGACTCAGAATCAGGCAGCTTCCTATGTTAATGGTGACAGTACTGGAAATAAGGTGAAGGATGAAAATCAAAGTTAATTCTGGATGATGCTAGTTTTTGTTTTGCATCAATGAGCTGAGTTACTGAATTGAGCCCTTTTAAGGGACAGGGAAAGTCAAGTGGGAGCAAGCCATTTTCAGTGGGGCTCTTCCTTCCTCCACCCTCATTTTCTACTAGTGTCACCAATGATACACCAACATTTGTTGCACAAGCCTCTAAAAATGTGCTTCCTCAGAAATCTCCCTCTGCTTAAACACTCTGCTTGGAAATAAACAGATCTGTTTAACCGCAGACATGTCTATCCACTGCTTCTGCTTTACTTACCCACCTTCCAGTGAAGGAAGGATTTGCAAGAAACAGCCTCAAAGAATATATTAAGATTGCACAAACGTCTTCTGGAACCTGCTGGCAATTGTATATTAAACCTGTAGGGAGAGTCTTGGAATGTGTAGTAGCTCTTAAGTTGGTTGATTTAAGAAGTATCAGTTAATGGTAGAATACAGGAGCCAAATCTTAATGGTTCAATAAAGTTGGTGAGGGGCAAACTGTCACCCAAGGCTGTTTCTGTTGTTTGCCATGGCCCATCTATTTTAGAGTTGCAAAGGAAGGGTTTATTCTCTGGGTGCCATAAGATGTAGCTAATATGTGGAAAGTGATGTGTGTAGTGTGTTAAGAGTGTTGGATCAGACTAAGTTTCACTAATCCTCTGCAAGACT